TTTCGCCTCCCTGCATTGTGCCTACATATGCAAATTAACCGCCATCTTGTTGGCAGTTAACTGCCAATCTTAGTTGGCAGTTAATTTGCATATAGCCCTGATTAGCCAATGAAAAGGGCAGCGTCGTACGCCAATTACCATTTTTCTCTTTTATTAGTGTAGACTAGTGGTCTGGCACACGAAATTTGTGTGCGAGTATGGTCCGTAGGCCTGACCTGCTATCAGGGCCATCTTCCCCAGCTGCCTGCAGCTGGCCCTGCCCCCTGCCACTACCTACCCTTGGTTTCCCTTTCTTTATTGGGTAATCTGAGCTTGACAGCTGGGGGACAGTACCAAGAGGTCGGCTGTTCCCACCTGCTCACCGGCCCCACCCCCACTGCAGGTGGCCATCAGGTGATCGGAGCCTGCTGGCTGGGGAAAGGGACCAAGAGGTGGTCAGTGCGTTTCTTAGTGACAGGCCCAGCAGTCATTCTGGTTTTTCTGCCATTAGGGTCAATTTGTATATTACCCTTTTATTATATAGGATAGAGGGCTGGTGCATGGGTGGAGGCCAGCTGGCCTGCCCTGAAGAGGCCCCCAGATCGAGCTGGGGAGTCCCCGCTGGGGGCGGGGCCAGCCTAGGTGAGAGGCTGTGGGCAGTTTGCAGGCCAGCCACGGTCCCGGTCAGGGTGGGGGTCCCCACTGGGGGCAGCGTTGGGTGGGTGAGGGGTTGCAGGTGGTTTGCAGACCAGGCACGCATCCGGTTGGGATGGGGGTCCCCACTGTGAGCAGGGCCAGCCTGGGCGAGGGGCCACGGGTGGGTGAGGGGCCGTGTCTGGAAGACGTCCAGTCTATCTGGTCTAATTAGTATATTACCCTTTTATTAGTATAGACTAGAGGCCTGATGTATGAAATTCGTGCCAGGGGCTCAGCCCCCAACACAGCGGTGGCTGCCTCTGCCTCGCCCGCCATGGCTTCATCAGGTCTAATTAGCACGTTACGCTTTTATTATTATAGATAGTACATTAGATGGTAATGTATAGAAGAAAGATTAAAATGGGAAACCATTTGGGAGTATGGAACGAATTAATTCAATTTACATTATTTCTAATGGGAAAAATAGTCAATTTTTGAAAAAAAAACTCTTCTCGAATGGCCTTCCAGATCAGTTAAGTTCAAGAGCTGAGGTTTCATTGTCTTTACTTAAAATCTCAAGATGTTATTTATTTCTTTCTACTGTATTTACATTTGCATTGATGGTGTTAAAGCAGTTGTGAGTGAGAGTGCTGGTGCCTTAGCATGAATCCTGGCAGCACACCACTGTGCCAAGTACTCTAATGTATTCTTAATCTCCAGGTATTTGAAGCATTTTGTTTTTGTTTTAAAGCCAGTGTCACTTAAGAATTTCCTTGATGAAGCAACAAAAATTAGCTTTACTAAATCTTAACTGTTGAGTACATGTCTGCGTGATAAGTGGGAAGCATGCATAAAGTTCTCCTGCTCACTATCAAAGTATGATGGCTCTCTCAAGGAAAAGCACTCTTGAAATTGAGTTCCAAGGCTCTCTTTTTTCATGGACTGTCATTTTTAGTTGACTATTTGGCAGAATTCCTTTTTTAAAAATATATTTTTTTAATTGATTTCAGAGAGGAAGGGAGAGATAGAAACATCAATGATGAGAGATAATCATTGATAGCTGCGTCCTGCACACCCCACACGGGATCGAGCCCACAACCCAGGCATGTGCCCTTGACCAGAATCGAACCCACGACTCTTCAGTCCGCAGGCTGACACTCTATTCACTGAGCAAAACCGGCTAGGGCTGAAATTTTTTTTTTAACGAAGCACAAGATGAATGAAGAAAATAGTAAATCTGAGTAAGAAGGAACTATAAAATATATGTCGTTTAATAGCATTCTTACCAATTGTTACTTTAACAATTTAATTGTAAACATATTTGAGAAATACAAATAGCTTAATCACGTTCTTATGGTCTGTTTGATTTGACATTCTAAAATATTTTCTAAGAGTATTTGTCAATGTTTCTTTAGAAATACAACTACTACTTGAGATGAGCCATCATTGCAAGATATATTTTACATTATTAACATATTCATGTGATATATCTGAGATTTGCTTCACAATAAATCAGTACAGAATGGGGATCAGGGAAAGTAGGTTAGGTATAGATGAAACAAGATTTCCCTCTAACTTCTGTATGTGTTTCAAAATTTCCAAAATAAAAACTAAAAAAATAAAAAGAATGATCTAATGTGTAATAAAAGTGCATATGTTTAAGCTGATTCACATTTGAATTATAATGTTGGCTAATTTTAAAAGTTATACACAAAGGAACTTTTAGGTTAAAAATGTGAATGCAAGAGCTAAAAATATGCTATAGCAACTAAAATATAAAGGAAAGAAAATAACAAAAAACCTACTGCTGAGAGAGTTGACTTCAAAACTGTTCTGGGAGAAAAATAAAAGAATAAATCAGACATGTTTCTAAAAGATAAACATTGTTTTTATTGGACAGGGCTCTTCAGAGAAACAGAACCAATGGGTGTGTGTGTGTGTGCGTGTGTGTGTGTGTGTGTGTGTGTGTGTGTTTCACGAGGGAGCGGGAGTGGGAGTGAGATTGATTTAATTATTTTTTATTATTTTTTTTAAAATCTTTGCTCGAGGATATGTTTATTGATTTTAGAGAGAGGAAGGGAGAGTGAGAGAGACACATCCATGTGAGAGAGAAACATTGATAGATGCCTCCTGTATGCAGCCTGACTGGGGATGGAACCCACAACCTGGGTATGTACCCCCACTGGGTATCGAACCCCTAGCCTTGCAGTGTACTGGATGACGCTCCAACTGAGTCATACCAGGCCAGGGTGAGATTGATTTACTTTAAGAAATTGGCTCATGATTTTGGAGGCTAAGTGGGTAAAAAATCCAATAGGATAAGGTGATAGGCTTGGGTACTCAGAAGAGCTGCAGTCTGAGAACAAATTTCCTTGTAGGGTGTGTGTGTTGGGGGTAGGGTGCAGGTAGCCATCAATCTAGTTCTGTTAAGGCTTTTAATTGATGGAATGAGCTCTCCCCATATTATGGAAGGTAATCTGCTCAACTCAGAAGCCTATTGATTTAAATATTAATCTGGTCCAAAGGAAAAAATAAACAACGCATGCATGAACACATCCAGAATAATGTTTGACCACATATCTGGGTACTGTGATCCAGCCAAGTTGACATAAAATTATTATCACAGATGTCTTTAAAACTTCTTGTTCTGATCATTTTAATTACAACTGTAATAATAGGACCAGCAGGCTTTAATTGTTGGTCTAGGGCAGCGGTTGCCAACTGGTGGGCCGCAGACCACTGGTGGTCCGTGAGGTCCAAAGGGTTGGCTACTGCTGGTCTACAGTGTTTTATCTTTTTAAAAGAGATCCCAGGAAAACATGACAGAATGTTACCTGTTAAAACACAGTGGAAGATATATAGGATTTCTATTTTTGTGTACTTGAATTGTTACATTGACATTTAATAAATTCTGTTGTCCCTGACCAAGTGGCTCAGTTGGTTGGAGCATTGTCCCATACACCAAAAGGTTGTGGGTTCAATTCCTAGTCAAGGCACATACCTAGGTTGCAGGTTCAGTCCCGTATCTGGGTGTGCTCAGGAGACAACTTTTTGATGTTTCTCTCACATCGATGTTTCTCTCTCACCCCTCCTCTAAAATCAATGAAAACATATCCTTGCCGAAACCGGTTTGGCTCAGTGGATAGAGCGTCGGCCTGCGGACTGAAAGGTCCCAGGTTCGATTCCGGTCAAGGGCATGTACCTGGGTTGTGGGCACATCCCTGGTGGGGGATATGCAGGAAGCGACTGATCGATGGTTCTCTTTCATTGATGTTTCTGACTCTCTATCTCTCTCCCTTCCTCTCTGTAAAAAAAAAAATCAATAAAATATATTTTAAAAAATGTTAAAAAAAAACCCACATATCCTTGGGTGAGGATTAAAGAAAAAGAATTAATGAATATTATATAGTGAAAATGCGTGGGGATATAGTACATTATTGCATGTGAAGATTCCACATTCCACCTTATTATTATAAGAAAAAAGTGTTATTTTTATTAGAAAATACATTATTTGGAAGGAAAGAAGAGCAGGAGTTTTGTGATTTGGGGCTATTTATATATGTATAGTGGTGAGTAATTAAAAAAATTTGTTTTTATATTACTTTTGATCAATTTGTTGAAAACGATTTACCTACACAAAAGACTAGTTAATGGTTATCTGGAGATAACTGTACTCTTACCAGAGCAGCTGTCACATATACAGCCTTCTTGTTCAGTGTGTGTGTATGTATTTGTGAACTCCATGATTTCAGATAGGAAAAGGCTTGTTTCTTTCCATTTAGTTATTTAAATCATAACTAATATTTTGTTACTCTAGACTTCCCGAAAACCTCGTGAAGAACGAGATGTGTCTCAGTGTGAAAGTGTAGCTTCCACCGTTTCTGCTCAGGAAGATGAAGATATTGAAGCCTCTAATGAAGAAGAAAATCCAGAAGACAGTGAAGGTATTTCAGAATGTTAAATTTAGTTGTACCTCCTGCTAGCCCAAATGCGTAGTTTTTAGCTTAGTGGTTTGACTGTTTAGGAATTGCCTCATTAAGGAAATAGGACATTTGTGTTTTCAAGGCATAGAGACATTAAACTTGAACATAATGTGTTTATTTGTTCAACTAACAAATATTTATGTAGCACCTGAGATGGTAAAAGTGCTACAGACAGAACGTCTTGAAAATGCCAGTCATGCTTCAGACAATATTTCGTGTCCTTTTTTTTTTAAATAACAGCCATTCTAACAGGTGTGAGGTGCTTACTCACTCTGTTCTAACCACTGTTCTTTCTTCTATTCCTGAGCAGAGCAACTCTCACTTTAGGGATTTTGCATGTGCTAACCCCTCTACCTGGGATGCTCTTCTCAAAAATGTACCTGTTGGCTCGTTCTCCCATTTCTTCAGGCCTCTATTGATATGTAACCCTATCTCTATAATATCTCTTTATCCACTGCTTCCTAAGTTTTGTTATTTATTCACTGCACTTATTGCCACCTGATATATCTTCTATGTATTGTTTAATATCTGTTTTACACTAGAACTAGTAGCCCTGTGCATGAATCCATGTGCCAGTAGGTCACTGCTGCCCTCGTGTAGCTCTCTGCCCGCTGCCCCGTACTCCTTTAGCTCCCCCACTTCTCTTCCCACCCCCTATAGCTTGCTGCCCTGCCCCCTCCTGTAGCTCTCTGCAGCCCACTTGTACCTCACTGGCCCACCCTCATGCTGTATGTGTGATCTGGTTGTGACATGCTTGGTTGTTATGCCTCAGGGCGTAATGGCTACGGGTCACGCACACGGCAGGGCCAATCCAGGGGTTGGGGTGCCGCCCCAGGTCGGGTCGCACACAGGCGCCCAGGAGGGCCAGCCGATCACTGCTGCCCCACCTGGCTATCCCGGTTCAGGTCGAACACGGGACGCCTGGGTGGGCCGGCGGATTGCTGCTGGGAGCTTACATTGCCAGGGTGGTTGGCCAGCCTGAAAATAGCCATCAGCCCCTCACCCAGGCTGGCCAAACCTCCATGGGGTGAGGGTCCCCACTGGGGTGGACGTCCTCCGAGGGGTTCCACACTGCAAGAGGGCATAGGCCGGGCTGAGGGACCCCTGAGTGCACAAATTTTTGTGCACCAGGCCTCTAGTAATATATAAAACTCTAGAGGAATAAAGAGGGTGCACAAGGTAGCCTACCTCTTAAAATGACATAAATATAAGTTAGCCTTTCCTCTCTCTGAGACATCTAACTTCCTATTAACTGTTTACAAACTATAATGAAAATATATTCTATTATTTCACGATCCCAAACTAGGAAGGCAGGTATATTAGAGAAGTAAAATACATCTATACATTTTAAAGGATACACAAATGAGTAATTCAATCATTACTTTCTCTGTTCAAAAAGTATAAACCTCTGGAGTTATGAACATAACTCACAATTGCAAAAAATAGTAAGTGCCAAATTAACAATTAAAAATTAGTTTAGGATGATCTTTCAAGGCTATATAGAACTAGTTCCCAAAAAAACCACTTTAAAAAGATGGTTCCTATTCTCAACACCATTTAACTTTTTAGTTTTATTTCTTACATAAATCAATGATACAACTTTTAAAGTTTTTATCCTAATATATAATCCCTCAGCCCATCACCCAGACTGGCCAGGCACCCCAGTGGGGACCCCCCCCCTAAAGGAGGGGTGGCCAGCCTGAAAATAGCCATCAGCCCCTCACCCAGGCTGGCCAAACCTCCATCGGGTGAGGGTCCCCACTGGGGTGGACGTCCTCCGAGGGGTTCCACACTGCAAGAGGGCATAGGCCGGGCTGAGGGACCCCTGAGTGCACAAATTTTTGTGCACCAGGCCTCTAGTAATATATAAAACTCTAATATGCAAATCAACCGAAAAGTGGAACGACCAGTTGCTATGATGCATACTGACCACCAGAGGGCAGATGATCAACACAGGAGCTGCTCCCACTAGGGCTGGCAAGCAGGTGGCAGGTGCCAGGAGGGGCCCCCCGATTGCCCCACCTGCCAGTCACCCTGCAGAGGCAGATGACTGGAAGAAGGGGGTGGGGCCGGCCAGTGGGCAGCGCCAGGCTGCCAGCCAAGGTGGGTGCCAGCGGGGGGCCCCTGTTCGCCCTGCCCGTCACCCCACAGATAGCTCCTGATCGCCGGCCAGGCCTAGGCACCCTACCCTATATATTGAGAATAGTCCCTTAGATTTAAAAATTAAAACCCGGCATGGCTACTCTAACACTGAAAAAACAGGATGATGCAGCGATGACATGTATGGACTCTGGCTTGCACATTTTGTGGTTTGCCGTGATTCTGACACTTATAACTGTGTGACAAAGCCAATTACTTAACTTATCTCTGCTTCAGTTTTTCCACCCATAAGATGGAAGAAATGGTACTACTGCCTCAGAAGGATCATGTTATGTACTACTTTTTCTAATCAGGGCAAAAAAATGTAGCACACCGTACAACAGCAAGATGCCTTTCACCTGTATGAAAAGTATGGTCACTGGTGCATGCAGCATCCCAGATTGTGAGAGGGATGTCCAACTGCAGATTCCCAGATTGTAAGCGGTCACAGGCTGGACTGAGGGGACCCCCCCTTCCGTGCACAAATTTTGTGTACTAGGCCTCTAATATACTTAAAAGACAATACAAATGATGTA